TAAGGCACCTTCTAGGTTGAGAGTGGGGTCATGGAACATAGGGACTCTGACGGGGAAGTCTATAGAGTTAGCAAAGATTCTCCATAAGAGGAAGATTAACATAGCATGCGTCCAGGAGACTAGAGCTGATGGGTTTAAGTTGTGGTATTCAGAGAGGGTGAGAGGGAAGAACAAGGTAGGCATTTTAGTTGATAAGGATCTAAGGGAGCTAGTGATTGAGGTTAAGAGGGTAAATGACATGTTGATGGCCATTAAGATAGTCGTGGGAGGGTATACTCTAAACATAGTTAGCGCTTACGCTCCTCACGTGGGTTTGGATGAGGAGGTTAAAAGATACTTCTGGGAAGATTTGGATGGGTTAGTGTGGGGTATACCGTCCACCGAGAAGCTTATTATAGGAGGTGATTTTAACGGCCACATTGGGATGTTGCCTGGGGGATATGACGGTGTGCATGGTGGCTTCGATTTTGGAGATAGAAACGGAGGAGGTACTTCGCTGCTGGAGTATGCTAAAGCTTTTGAGCTGGTGATCGTTAACTCGTGTTACCCGAAAAAGGCAGAGCACCTGATAACTTTTCAGAGTACAGTGGCCGAGACCCAAATTGATTATCTACTTCTCCGAAAATGTGATAGAGGTTTATGCACGGATTGCAAGGTCATCCCGAGTGAGAATCTTACGACCCGACATATGCTTTTGGTTATGGACTAAGAGATCAGGTGGATAAAGAAGAAGAGGGCTATGTCTGGTATTCCTAGGGTCAGGTGGGGTGCATTGACCAAGGAGAAGTCCCGAAAGTTAGGGGAGAAGTTACTGGCTATGAGGGCTTGGAGGAGTTGCGGGGATGCGAGTTGTATGTGGGCTATGACAGCAAATTGTCTTAGAGAGGCGGCGAAAGAGGTGTTAGGGGTTTTGAAGGGTTTTTCTGGTGGCAATAAAGGGGACATGTGGTGGAACGAAGAGGTTCAAGGGAAAGTGGAAGCTAAGAAGGCGACATATTTGAAGCTAATAAAGAGTATAAACGAGGGACAAAAGAGTGCTAATAGGGAGGGGTATAAAAAGGCTAGGAAGGAGGCGAAGTTGGCGGTTACTGGGGCTAAGACCGCAATGTTTAGTCGTCTATACAAAGAAATTAGGGATAAAGGCGGGGACAAGAAGTTGTACATGCTGGCGAAGGTGAGGGTGCGGAAGGCCCGAGATCTGGACCAAGTGAAGTGCATAAAAGACGAGGAGGGTAGAGTTTTAGTGGAGAGGGCACGAATTAGGCAGAGATGTCAGTCTTACTTCCATAAACTCTTGAATGAAAAGGGATATATGAGCAATGTTCTGGGGGAGTTAGAGTACTCAGAGTGACATCGCGATTTTGGGTACTGTAAATGCATATGAGTGGGGGAGGTTGTAGGGGCTATGCGCAGGATGAGTAGGGGTAGAGCGACTGGGCTGGATGAGATCCCGGTGGAATTATGGAAGAGCGTGGGTAAGGAGGGTGTTGAATGGCTTGCTAGGTTGTTTAACGTCATTTTTAGGACGAAGAAGATGCCGTAAGAGTGGAGGCAGAGTATGATGATTATGTTGTATAAGAACAAGGGGGATGTCCAAAACTGCAACAACTATAGGGGTATCAAGTTGTTAAGCCACACGATGAAAGTGTGGGAGAGGGTGATTGAAGGGAGGTTAAGGAGGAGTATGCCCATTTTCGAGAACCAGTTTGGTTTCATGCCTGGACGGTTGACTACTGAGGCCATTCACATTGTGAGGAGATTGGTGGAGCAGTATAGGGCGATGAAGAAGGATTTGCATATGGTTTTCATTGACCTGGAGAAAGCCTATGACAAAGTCCCAAGAGAGGTTCTATGTAGATGTTTGGAGTATAATGGAGTGACTGTAGCGTATATTAGAGTGATTCAGGACATATATGATAGAGCTAAGATACGAGTTAGGACAACAGGAAGAGACTCTAATTATTTTCCTGTTGTGATGGGGTTGCATCAGGGATCATCACTTAGCCCATTTTTGTTTTCCCTGGTGATGGATTCATTGACGTGACACATTCAAGGGGAGGTGCCTTGGTGCTTGTTATTTACGGATGATATAGTCCTGATTGATGAGATGCGAGGTGGCGTTAACGAGAGGCTATAGGCCTGGAGACATACTCTAGAGTCTAAGGGTATCAAGTTGAGCAAGATCAAGACAGAATACGTGGAGTGCAAGTTCAGGGGTGTTACCCAGGAGGCTGACTGGGATGTGAGGCTCGATACGCAAGTCATTCCCAGGAAAGAGAGAGTTTCAAGTATCTGGGGTCTATAATTCAGAAGGATGGGGAGATAGATGAGGATGTCACACACCGTATCAGAGCAGGGTGGATGAAGTGAAGGCTCGCTTCTGGTGTCTTGTGTGATAAGAATGTTCCGTTGAGACTTAAGGGTAAGTTCTACAAGGTAGTGGTTAGACCGACTATGTTGTATGGGGCAGAGTGTTGGCCAGTCAAAATCTCCCATGTCCGGCAGATGAAAGTAGATGTGATGAGGATGTTGAGATGGATGTGTGGGAATACTAGGTTGGATAGAATTAGGAATGAAGTTATTCGGGACAAGGTGGGAGTGGCCTATGTGGAGACTAAGATGCGTGAGGCGAGGTTGAGATGGTTCGGGCATGTTAAGAGGAGAAGCAAAGATACCCCAGTCAAGAGATGTGAGAGGTTGGCCTTTAGAGGTAAGAGGAGAGGTATAGGTAGGCCAAAGAAGTCTTGGGGAAAGGTGATCAGGCGGGACATTGCGCAACTTAAGCTAACCGAGGACATGACCCTAGATAGAAGGGTGTGGAGGTTGAAGATTAAGGTAGAAGGTTAGTAGGTAGTCGTGCATTTCTCTTTGACTTCTATAGTTCGATAGTATTAGTGCTAGTACGGTACCCTTTTTTCCTTAGTGTGCTATATTCACATGGCTTATTATGTTATTGCTAGTCATCAGTAATTCCGTAGTTTGCTGGCAGTACTTCGTTCATATTCTCGTTTGCTGCCTTGGATTTAGTTTTCTAAATATATTGTCTTGCTATTACTTGTTATCGGTACCTCTTTCATATTCTCTGTTGCTATCTTTGCTTTAGTTTTCTAATTATTGTTCTTGCTATTACTTGCTATCGGGGCTTCTTTCATCTTCTTTAGCCGAGGGTCTATCGGAAACAGTCTCTCTGCCCTTCCAGGGTAGGGGTAAGGCTACGTACATCATACCCTCCCCTGACCCCACTTGTGGGATTATACTGGGTTGTTATTGTTGTTGTTGTTGGTATCCTTTAACAAAGATCAGAACACTCGTTAGTGTGCGACCCCATAGGTTCGATACTAAATTGAACACATCAATATACTAATCAAGGGTGGCATCTAGAAACACTCCTCAATGATCGAATAGAATGAAGTATACAATTTACTCTCAAGAACCCGTAGAAGAATAATGCATTAATTCCTTCTGTCCTTATAGCTCTGGGTCACCCTAGGATATGGTTCAACTGTCAAATCTTAATAGGCGACCAACTATGTGTTCATGTCAAATATAATCGACCATTGAATGACCTAAGAAACTCTTTTCTTCTTTCATTCAATCGCCCTGGCCAAGGTCTTAATTTGGTCGGTTATAATACATGACAACATGGAGCTTAAACTCATTACCAAGTGCTCTGATACCAACTGTCACGACCCCAATTTCCCTCCGTAGGATGTCGTAATGGCACCTAGTCTCTAAGACTAGGTAATCCTAATAATTTGCTGAATAACTGAATAATAAACTGAACTCCAATCTCAACACATGATATATAAATAAAAACTGCGATTTAATAATTACAACACCCAAAATCCGGTAGAAATAAGTCACAAGCTTCTAAGAGAAAATACTAAGCGTCTCTATACATCAAGTCTAAAGAGAATAAGGGAAACAACATAATAAGGATAAAGGGGGACTCCGAGGTCTGTGGATGCTGGAAGATATACCTTGAAGTGTCCACGTGCGGTCCAACTCACGGATATCTAGTATGGCGGGAAGAACCTGGATGTGCACAAAAAGATATGTAGAAGTGTAGTGTGAGTACACCACAACGGTACCCAGTAAGTGCCAAGCCTAACCTCGATAGAGTAGTGACGAGATCAGGTCATGTCACGACCTAAAATCTATTAAAAGTCGTGATGGCGCCGGACACCGCTGTCAGGCAAGCCAATAATAAATACTCAATTTGGTTCTCATTTTAATATTTTGAAATCATATTTTTCCTTCCATTAAATAGTAGAATATGGAATTTACAGAGTAAATGATAATATTTTTAAAAATTTCATTACAGAGCAACTCGTAATCACTCCAAAACCCGGTGTCACAAGTGCATGAGCATCAACTAGGAATGTAAAATAAAATACAGCATCTGTTCGGAATACAAATTTGGACAGGAGAAATATAAATACTCTGAAGGAGACTCTGCCGGCTGCGGGTTGTAATGTGGAATGCAGCTCACATAAGTCCCCGCATGCATACACACCTCTGCTCTCACAAGGCCACTAGTCATATATGTACTTGTACAAAAGTGTGCAGCAAGTGTAGCATGAGTACGTAACCAACATGTACCCAGTAAGAATCTAGCCTAACCCCGGAGGAGCAGTGACGAGGGGTTGACATAGACACTCACTAGTGGTCCAATAACATCAGGTACAGTAAATAGATAAGTAAATATGAGGCAGAGTAAATAAATGAGGTAAACAACTAATAAATCACGCGGTACAAATTCCCCTTATCCACGAGGAACCCAAGCTCTCCATTAGAAATTCCCTCCTTAACCGGAGCATATATATATATATATATATATATATATAGATCTCATAAGATAGATCGTCATAACTCAGATCAGGAAAACTCATAGATATACTGGCTTTTTTCCAAATATTACGCATGAATCCATGATGCTATGATATAGGAAATGCCGAGGCGTACGACCCGATCCAACATAAGAATTTAAACTATGCACTGCCGAGGGTAGAACGACCCGAACCATAGATATATTTATTAAACTGCAGAGGAGAACGACGCTCCCATGAGAGTGTGGTACATAAATACTGCCGAGGCGATCGACCCGATCCCATAAGAATGAAATACATAATCCTGCTGAGGCAAACGACCCAATCCCATAAGAGTGAATTACATAATCCTGCCGAGGCGAACGTCCCGATCTTATTAGAATAAGAAGCTTGGACGGGTCCTGTCACGACCCGAAATTTCCCACCGACGGGACCGTGATGACGCCTAACATTTCACTTGCTAGGCAAGCCAATGTTAGAAAATCGTTAAACCAATTCCTTATTTCCATTCAGTAAATAACAATAATTAACTAAGATGAAATATAATAAGTAAGGAATATTATAAAACTGTATTAATTACTACCACCCGGATCTGGAGTCACAATTCACAAGCATTCTAGAATTTACTACAAGTAATAGTCTGAAAGAAATACAACTGTCTGAATGAAAGAAAATAGTAGGGCATAAAAGATAGATGGGGACTTCAAGGTTTGTGAACGCCGACAGATGTACCTTGAGTCTCCGGACAGCGGACCAATAACAAAATCTCGATCAACCTGAGCCGGTATCAAAATCTGCAGAGAGAGTGTAGAGTGCATCATCAGTACAACCGACCCCTTGTACTGGTAAGTGTCGAGCCTAACCTCGGCGAAGTAGTGAC